TAGACCCAATGTGTAGAACATCCAGACAGGATCAGAAAGGAACTGTAGATCTTTAAGTGAAATCTTGTTCATAACTACTTCAGTAGAGTTTATTTCCACGTAAATGTATTAGGGCTGCAAGCTTCGATGGTTAATCTTTATAGGGTGCTTTATCCAACCAAACATATAGGATTGGAATGCAATCCTGAACTTCCCATTTACCTTTGTTTTGTTTTTCTTTGTTTGTTTTAAAAAAAGGTAAGTCCAAAGTAGAACAATAGTTTTAAGGAGTCTAAAATAGGGGCTTGTTGGGTTAGAGCTGATACTACTATTAGGCAGAAATGAAGCAGTCATTTGATGACTTATTCAGCTGAGCCATCCTGCCTCAGGTGATGGGTTCTCTAGAGTTGGCCTGGGTTCACTACAAGATATCCAGAACTGGACTACTCTTCAACTTGTATGTATTGCCACTTTTATAATAAGAGACACAACACAGAAACTCAAGGTGTCTTCATAACCTCATGATTATGTAAAAAAGATATGAGGCACAAATAAACACAGACTGAGGCTGTTGGCTGTTGTTGAAAGATCTCAGTAGGAAAAGTGAATTATTCAGGACCCCTGTAAATGAATCTTTAAATGGGGGAGCAGATGTTCCTAATGCCTGGCACAACTTGACAAGCATGCAGCAAACTCTACTGTACAGGCTGTTTATTTTGTGGGGGATTTGATTATGGGAGGTGTTATGAATTGATTTGAATATATAACTTCGCCTTTCCCAAAGCTTTGAAGCAATTGTTTATAGCATAAGAGAGAATCCTAGGTGGGCTTCTCCCTCTGTGTGTGCATCTCTTGTCACTGAACATTTTAAAGTTATTTCCCCTATTTGTTTTTATTTCACTTTTTTCCCTCTTTGGGCATGGAAATGTGACCCTTCCTGGTTTCCCTTCTCCATGACTTTTTTATAATATCCAGGGAATATTTAAGTGGGAAAGTAATAGGCCTTTCAGTTATACCCAGCATGATTTGTGATGTGTTTAATTGTACAACATTCCAATTGACCAAATGATTGCTCTTTGCCCCTAAAAATATATAAATAAATATTTCCTGAGGTATCTAGAAGCTCTGTCTTTGAAAATGGCACAATAATTAGTATGGGATTCTTCTCTTAGTTTCTTCGTTCCTTCCGGAAAGTCATTAGGCAGTTACCCAAACTGTGTTTGTTTCCCATTAATGATAGACCTATCAATCTCTCCTGCAAGTCAGCCAGACTTACGTCACCTGAATGCCTCAGCTAACAAGTTACTTAAGCACTAGCTCAAGAAGTTGGAAAAACTGGGGCCCTAGAGAAAAGAGGGAGGACTAGGGTCAGATGGGCAATATGGATATAGGTATTCATATTTCTATGCAGTAACCAATGGTCTGCAGTACACATGGTCTCCTGTCCTCCCCACCGGAGAAGGGAGGGAGGGAGGGAGGACGAGCCATGGAGTTGTATATTTATTATGATCAGTTGCTGAAAGATTCTGCTCTTGATGAACTGCAGTGACAATAAAGAACTGTAAAAAAAGGTTTAGAGTTCAGGGACAATCAATTATATTGTAAGATAACAAAAGTACACTTGGTAAGAGGATGTCTTTGGTTTGATTGAACTGCACATGGGTCTGAAAAAATAGCATTCTTTCAGGGAAGAAGGCAGGTAAAGCATTTTGAAACTCTATAATTAAAGTTTGATAAATAGAATGTTTACAAGTGAGATCAATTAAATATTGTTCTGGTTTTAGAAATATAGAGAGGGAAAGAGAGAGAGAGAGAGAGAGAGAGAGGGTGACATAAGCATTATGTGTGGATATCCTTATGCCACATTTGGAATTTTTTGCTTGGGTTAACATTATAGAATTAGCCATTCATCATGTTGACATTTGTGTTATTTCTGAAAGCAGTATTCTGGCGCTACTGTGAATAGTTGTATCCAAGATCATGCTGTACTGAAGAGTGAGGTCACGGAGACCATGTCAATAGCACATGTTAATTCTGCTTTGGAATGCCAGCTTAAATCTTGAATCGATACCTTTCTTACACTGTTGATCTGCACTCTTTTTATGGCTTTGCTGGATACCAATGAAGTTCTGAAATAAAATACACTGATCTGAGACAATAAATGGATGAAAGAAAATGGAAGGTGAATGCAAGTAATGCATTTATAGACATATTCATGCAATTATCTTACATCTATGGCAAATATATTTATATATTTTCATATTCCCTTCAGTAGATAATTTCAACATAATTTACACAAAAATTACCATTATGATTTCAATATTCCACAAGAAATATAGCTGATTTTTAAAACTCCAAATCACAATAGAAAAAAAGATTTTATTGTATATTCCCTAGAAATATGTGGACAAAATATTTCAGAAATTCAAGCAGGGCTTACTTTAACCAAAACTAACATGGCTTGCCCTCCCTCCCTCCCTCCCTCCCTC